ATGGTATTTTGGTATATTGCACAGTATACATTTCTTATACAGGGTGTTTTGTAGTAGGAACAACATATAATTATTTTTTAAGAACTAATTCAAAACCCTGTACCTACTTATTAATTGATTTTTGGGAAAGGTAATACCACCAAAATATGTGTACCTCTTAGCTTCAAAATATACAAGGCGGCTTATTCGCTGGAAGATATTTTATTTTAATAAAAGTACAAAATTTTCCAAGTCAAATATAACTATTTTCTTAGTATATGATAATTTTAACACCGTTTTAAGAGACATAATTTTAAATCCGATACCATGACCAGTTTTCGAGATACAGGGCGTTAAAGTGGAGAGTTGCTGATCTTAGTTATTTTTTCTTCCAAATGAAAAGCTAGATTGTTTTTATGTAGAATATATAAGTTTAATATAAGTTTTGGTGAGATGTACATTCAGTTTAAAATATTTTTTTACAGGGTGATTCACGAATAAATCACAATATATTTTTTGCAAACACTCAATATCTCTACAGTTGCGCCACAGAGAAATTATTTCATTGAATTAATATCTACCCGTTCACAATTTTGAGGTCAAAATATTTCGCTATGTGTACTTTTAATTCAGGGTGAGCCATCCAGCCAACCACAAAATATAATAAGGTTTTGAAATTATTAAAAAGAGAACTTACATCTCTTTAGTGACTTTCGGGTAAGTTAATAACGTTACTTTAGATTTTAAAATATACAGGGTAATCTAACTGTTTTACAATTACCTACAAAATATATCAGTATATACATAATTTTTCGATATTTGTGACAAGTTTTTATACACGGGGGACAATAAAGTTGCAAAAATATAGTGTGATTTATTCGTGAATCACCCTGTAGCAGTAAATAATTTGAACTGTTTATGGACATCTGACCAAAACTTATATCAAACTTATATGTAAAGTTAATTTAGCTTTTCAGTTTGAAGAAAAAATAACTAAAATCAGCAATTCTCCACTTTAACGCCCTGTATCTCGAATTTAAAACTCACATTTCATATAAAGGTGGTATAAAAGCATTATATACTAAAAAAAATGGTTACATTTTACCGGAGAAATTTTAGTGGTTTTTATACTTTTCTTAAAATGGAATATCTTCAAACAAATAAATCACCTTTTGAAGCTTAGAGGTACACATATTTAAGTGGCATTACCTTTCCCAAAAATCAATTAATATGTACCAACAGGATTATGAATTAATCCTTGAAAAAAATAATTTTGTTATGGTTCTCTCTATGAAACACTCTGTATAAGAAATGGGTATTGTATAATCTTTTATTTTTTAAAAATATGCTTCCCTGATGACAGAGTAAAATTATTCATACATTGTAAATCACCCTGTAACTGAAAATATTTTTAATTGTACATAGGTACTAATGTAATAATAAGACATATAGTAAACGTCTGTATGCAACAGAAATTCAATCTAGCTCGTAATTTTGAATAAAAAAATTCGAAAATCTAAGCAATTTTCAACTTTAACACCCTGTATATCGAAAACCAGTCATATGATTGAGTTGAGCCTATTAACACTTTTGGTTACTAAGTACAATAACATACCAAAGTTTTAGAAAATTTAACCGGTCGTCACTTTACATAAGGAAAGTGCGGAAATCCTTTGGGTAATGGATGTGTAAGTTTCACACCTACAGATGAAATTAAATTCACGACATCTTTAAAAATGTATAGACAAAAACAATTGGAAGATCAAAATCGGAAAGGATTAAAAGAAGAAAAAATTATTTTTGAAACAAGGAAAGGTTAAGCCCAGACAACACACCAAATCCCAGAGATATCCACAGGATATCTTTAGTGGATATCCGATATATCCACAGGATATCATAGATATCCCGTGGATCTAATATGGATACCCAAATGTCCGTCTATATCCAGGATATAGAAGTGGATATCCAGCAAAATATCTAATAGGACAGACAATACACGAAATCCCAGAGATATCCACAGAATATATTTTGTTGTTGTCCTATGGATATCCAGCAAAATATCTAATAGGTATCTCCCAGACAATACACGAAATCCCAGAGATATCCACACAATATCTTTTGTGGATATCCAATATATCCACAGGATACTAGAGATATCCAGTGGATCTAATATGGATATCCAAATGTCCGTCTATATCCAGGATATAGAAGATATTCTATGGATATCCAGCAAAATTTCTAATGGGTACCTTTAGTAGAGGTTCATAAGTAACCAATGGATATATCCAGATGTTTAACATATCCAGTGTTCATCCATTACTTGATATATTTAAGATATCGAAAATCATATCCTTATAGGGTGTCGTATTTAATGCTTCATTAATTTTTTTTTTTTTTGAAAGATAAGTGGAACAATGAACTGCATAATCTAAAAATCAGCATTTCAGTAGCATAACATCGGAACGCCCTATATTTTTAATTTGGTATATACACCCAAACAAGGTTTACTATTCTAGTGTTAACTATTTTTGACGCTACACAGCATAGATATAGCGTGTAGAGTAGAAAGAGTATCAAAATTTTATTTGAATTTGGTCATCTGACAACACTGCTGATGGAGCAGTGAGTGTAGGAGCACTCTCCCGGTATCCTATTCTCAAACTCATGGTGTAGATTTTTTTTTTTTCATGATTTTATCGTACAAACTGACCTTACTAGTGTGACATTATCGAAGGCTGGTTAATTTAAGAGTTTATGGGGTTAGGGTTGGGGTAATTTGATAATAATTTTATTGAATAAACATATAAAAACAATAACACTTAACCTTTCCTTGTTTCAAAAATAATTTTTTCTTCTTGTAATCCTTTCTGATTTTGATGTTCCAATTGTTTTTGTCTATACGTTTTTAAAGATGTTATGAATTTCATTTCATCTGTAGATGTGAAACTTATACATCCATTACCCAAAGGATTCCCGTACTTTCCTTATGTAAGGCGACGACCGGTTAAATTTTCTAAAACTTTGGTATGTTATTGTACCTATACTCTGTTTTTAAACTAGGAGGAGCGAATTGAAAAGACGCATTTACACAGGGAAAAGTAACTAGATTTGTTACTAAGAGCGAGTTTCGAAATATAGTCGTGTTCAAAATTTATGAAATAATTATCTTTATCGGCCTTAGTCGGTGAACGGCCAATGAGCGGTTAAGAAATTGTCATAGAAGTAATTTTTTAATTGGTCCCAGACAACGGTCGCAAATTTCACATTATTGTGATCTAAAATGTGTGTCTAAAACGAAATGTCACTGTCAAATTAAAGTCAATATGGTTGTTGATTGATGTCAGAAATACTTTTTTCTTGCTTTTGAAATCGACTTTTTGAGAATAACTATGATCTTTTTAAAATGGATATTAAATATTTAAGAAAATTATTAATGGAATATCCAGATGTAGCCAGGTTAGTATAAAATATAAAGATCTGTTTACATTTTTAAGGATATATTTGTTATAGGTATAAAAAGTAAAAGTTAATCAGTGAATGACAAGTGGATCACACAGTAACTTGTATCTCTTCTATGATTAATGTGGATATTATTGCTGCTTATTTAGTGTTAACCCATGGTTAATGCGCTAGAGGGCAAATAAAGGCATTCAAAGGTTTACAGGCCTATGAGTCAGAATTTGTTTTAAAAACTGGAACCAACATTTTCATAACACTACATGTCAACATAAAGTTTTTTAAAGTGAACTATTCATACATACCTATGTATTAATTTTAAATATTTTTAAAATATTTTTTGTAAAAGTTATGTTAACTCATTGTGCCAAATTAAGATTATCCCTAAAGTAGTAGATGGTGTTTTAAATGTTATAACAATTTTGTAAATAGTTTTATTCTATTCTAATAAATAAAATTTGCTTGAATATAGTTACATTTCAATCATTTTGGTTAGAAATTCATCAATTTTTAGTTTTAAAAAATCAGTAATAAAATTATTTTTTTCCAAAATACTTCGGAATTCATCTCTTCATGGTAATCTCCCATCTTTTTACCTTCAAAAACCAATAATGCATTTTCTACAAAACCTTCAGAATCAGCATGTAAAATAATAAGGTGTCTTCCCTTTCTTGTAAGGCTTTTCAGGAATTGCTACCTTTAATAGTACGCAGTGTAGAAGGATCCATAATTGTAGATTTTCAATACAATTGCTTACTGAAGAACTATTATTTACGAAATAAAGTAAAAAACTAAGTAATGGATGAGATGTCAAATTATAAAATGTCAGAACTGTCAACAATATCAATGTTCATGCTAAAGAGTAATGTGTGAAACTGACTGTAATCTGACCAATCAGAAGGCTACAGAATTGCCAACTTAAATTCAAATCGCTCCTCTTAGTTTAAAAACAGCCAAAAGTGTCAATCGGCTCAACTCAATCCTATGACTGGTTTTCGATATACAGGGTGTTAAAGTTGAAAACTGCTTAGATCTTCGAAATTTTTATGTTCAAAATTACGAGCTAAATTGAATTTCTGCATACACACGTTTACTATATGTTTTATTATTACATATTATTACATGTGCAATTAAAAATATTTTCAGTTATAGGGTGATTCACAATGTATGAATAATTTTACTGGTATATTTTTAAAAAATAAATGATTTTACAATACACATTGTTTATACAGGGTGTTTTATAGAGAGAACCACATAAAATTATTTTTTCAAGGATTAATTCCTAACCCTATTGGTACTTACCAACCAATTTACCTGGATCAGTTAAACATTCAATTTGCGACAGCTGGCACTTTTCAGAACTTTTTCCATTTATTACACGGTTGTTCAATGTCCAAATAAAAAATGTAAATATCACACGTAATTTTTCAACTATTCCAGATAACACTCGCAATTTTCAGATAAACTGTAACTATTTCCTCAGTTAAATTTCCACATTTCGCAGCAATATAAGTTGGCGACTAGACCTTGTAGAAACGACAAGTTATGGAAATAATTTTTTGTAGGTTATCGCACTATAGGTGTGATTACAAAATTGGATCTTATGGACGAAGGGACAGACGCTAGAACCATTTTGGAAAACAAACTTCTACCATTAAGAAGAGGCTACGTAGGAGTCGTTAACAGATCACAAAGAGATATAGATGGGCGCAAAGATATCAAAATAGCACTCGATGCAGAAAGGAGGTTCTTTATAGGGTAAGAGAAAACGAACTAGTGTTTTTTTATAGATTCCATTAGTTTGACGTGTAAATTCTTCCGAAAATAGACAATCCCATACTTTGTGGAGTCCTACAGAATTCGACAAGTGTTTTTATGGATTTTATTTTTTCTGTGCAATTAAATAAGAACAGTGATCTAATCTCAGTGAATTCTATATCTTTTTAAAATATAATCTAGTACATAGAAACCTCTAAATATTATGTAGGTATAAGTTCGCAATTTAATAAAATGTGGGACTATGCCGCCGCCCTTATCACGAAGTGGCATAAGTAGCAAATAGTACATTCTACAGGAAAGCATTAAAACGAAAATACGTAATTCTCAGATCGACATAATGTAGAGGGATTTGGAGTTTGCGCTTTCAAAATTTTATCATGGAAGGCCTTGTTTTATTGTTTGGTAAAAAAAATTGAAATAGTCAGTTATGCCGCATCATGGCAAACAATTTTCTTACTTTATCAGATAGACCTTAATTAAGTATATTTTATTAGTTTAGTTGTCATTGTTTTTAATGCAATATTATGTATGTTTTATCTGCCTGTGATTATATTTAGTACAGGTTTAGGAAATGACAAACAAATAAAAAATGTTTAATGTTTTTATTAAGAAAAATAAACATACCTGAAAACTGAAAAGTAATGATTAAAAATAATTGGAATTGCATTTAAAACTATCATTCTTGATATTACTGGAATTCAGGTATTCGAACCCCGGGCGTTTGACTTTGACTTACGAAGATTAGGTCAGAATTCTTCTTGCTTGTTAGTTTTACTGGTTCTGTGTTCTAATTTAATATCATAAATATTTTATGTCAGTCTTTTTATTTCAGTACTGTCGTACTCTTTATGGTAATGACTTCGTTTAAAAAAGAAATTAGAAGGTATGTCTCTTCGGACCATACATTCCATAATTTCAGTCCACTTTAAATTTTCTCCTGGCTCACTTTCTTTAATTGGTAGAATTCTTATAGATTTTAACAGTTTTTTAAAATACAAGAAATCTGAGTACTTCGTTGGAATGTCGAGCCAAGGTTGTTTTCTTCTGGCCAATCGAAAAATTAGGTACCGTCAGGGGCGTGCGGTCCATGGAAGCGGGGGAAGCACCGCTTCCTACACTTTGGAATTTAAAAATAAATATTTTTCAGTTTACAATGCATATAAATTAATATTAAATTAGGTACTATATTTTCTCTGAAACACTACGTAAACTTCGTAGATGTACTAACAATTCATTGGTGTAATGTGTAAACGCACGCACCATCCATGAGAAAATTAATTGTGTAAACGCACACACCATATACTTCGAGTCCATCGGCGGAAGCGCGTCTTGAAAAAGCCAGCTCATCTTCCAATTGATTTCGCTTCATGTTATTGACCCTGCTTTGCCGCGACAGTAGTAAGTCTGTTTGTGCACGTGAAATACGGTCGAGAGGCAGCGATTTTTACGTCGCCTTACGCATATTGCAATTCGCACCGCGAATCGACGTGTGAGGAAAATCGTAGACTTCAGATAGATTTCGATTTGTTTTTCGTAGTTGTTTTTCTTTTTGTAAAATGGAGGAACTTTGCACTGTGCCTGTGAACAATAATAATGTGGTGTCTGTATTGTGTGCTCTTTATTGAAAAAAGGATTTTCAAGTGGAAATTTTGAAGAGAAAACGGACATTATTAATTCTAGTAGACTAAAGGATCCTATCAATTTAGAGACGAAAGTAGAAAAGTCAGCAAAGAAATTTACCAGGCATTTTCACGTAGGGTTCTATGAAAACTATGAATGGTTAACCGGCTGCAAAACTTTGAAGAAATTGTTTTGATGGCTGTGCCTACTTTTAAATATAGCCGAAAAAACACATTAGAACTCAGTCGGTATTACAGACTTGAATAATTTTCACAAAAGTGTAAAACGACATGTAAATAGCAAATCTTATATAAGTGCTACAATTAAAGAAAAAACATTCGGGACCTATCGCATTGAACATAGTTTGGACAATCATTTAAAAATAAGCAACAAAATTCACAATGAAAGGGTAACAAAAATAGGGACGTCTTACAACGATTAATAGATGTAACTTGTTTCCTGGGAGAGCATGAACTAAGTTTTAGGGGTCACAATAAAGCAAGTGGATCCGCCAATCGAGGAAATTACATGGACCTCCTAAGTTTTTTAGCAAAATACAATGATACCCTAAAAAAATAATTTTATTGATTCGACGACTTTCCGAGGTACCTCAAACAGAATCCAAAATGATTTAAGTAAATGCACTGCCGATGTTGTGATGGATCACATTAAAAGTGAAATTAAAAAAGCACCTTTCGTATCAATTGCGCTTGATGAAACCACAGATGTAGCAAACTTATGTCAATTATTCATTGTTGTGCGATATGTATTGGATGGCATTCCTCAAGAGCGATTCTTAGGATTTTTGGACGTCACTAGCGAACGAACTGCAGATGCATTGTGTAAAATTGTTTGTGACATTATTTCAAGTTTAGAATGTGGTTCTAAGCTTGTTGCCCAGAGCTACGAAGGTGCTGTCGTAATGGCTGGCCATTTAGGAGGCCTTTAAGCTAAAGTGAAAGAGAAGTTTAAACATGCAATTTTCGTTCACTGTATAGCAGATAGACTTAATTTGGTTTTATCGCGAAGCATGGATAATATTAAAAATTGCAAAGTTTTCTTTTCGACGCTTAGTGGTTTGGCTTCCTTCTTTTTAAAATCATCGAAAAGAACTCACGCTTTGGACATTCAGGTTCAAAAAAGGTTTCCAAAAGTTGCTCCGACGAGATGGAACTACAATGTTTTAATACCGTGATTCTCTGATGCACTTTTTTCAAGACGTTTGGGATAATAAAGAAACATGGGATGCTCAAACTGTTACTGCCGCTAAATGGTATTTGCATTGGCTCAAACAAAACTTTGATTTCAATTTTTTGCTAAACATTTTTGCAGAGATTTTCCCTTTTACTGACATTTTATTCGACATTTTACAGACAGAGTAAAATGACATTGGCTTTTGCATTAAACAAATTGATGATTTCAAAAATAAAATAAATAAAAAAAGAACACTTTTGGAATAAGACTCAAAACATTGGCTTAGAACCTGAAAGAAAGAGAATTAGAATTGATAATGTCGGCGACAGAGAGACCTCTTATCGTCGATTATACGCCGAAATTTTTGATAATATTTTACAACAAATGAACTCTCGATTTCAAAACTTTAACGAATTAAAATTTGTTGAATTGTGCAATTTTAATATTAGTAACTACGATTCATCAAAATTTCCATCGGAAGCTTTTAATTCACTAAAATTAAATTATGGAATTTTTTTCGATATTCCAGCATTAAAGTCCCAGTTAAGTGTTGTTTATGAATCAACTGAAATTAATGATAAAAAGACGCCCATCAATGTGTTAAATTTTCTTGTAACAACTGGTTTAAATAAGTCCCTTTGTGAAGTCGTCAAGTTGTGTGAATTAGTACTAACCATCCCAGCCACAAGTGCGTTAGTTGAGCGAAGTTTTTCAGCTTTAAATCGCATTAAAAGTTTTATACGAAATTCAACAAGTGAAGACAGACTCTGTAATTTAGCCCCAATATCCATTGAAAAACAGCTTGTTAAACAGTTATCAGAAAATCCAAAATTTTACGGCGATGTTATAGACAAATTTGCAGCCATTGAGGATAGGCGAATGGATCTTAAGTATAAATAAATGGCAACTGCTGTGTCAACTGTGCGAAAAATGCTGGAAAAATAAAAAAAACTTTAGTTAAATATTTTTTTACGTTTAAATAAACCAAGGAAGCTTTTCAATGGTAAGTTTTTTATAGCTTCTAGTACTAAACTAGGTAATAAAGTAATAGTAACACTTCAAAAATCTCAATCTCTAATATCCGTAGTACTGAGGAAAAAAAGCAAGATTTTGACAAAATGGTGAATGCACTGCGAAAAATTTTCGTCTGCGGCGCTATTACTGGCCTGCTGTATTTTTATACAATCGGTTCCCCTTCCAAAAATGTCACCGCACGCCACTGGGTACCGTTGTGAAGGTTCAAAAAGATCCCCAGCACCTATTATGGCAGTATTTATTGTACTGTGGGTAGAGTCCTCCGCACTCTGCCCATGGTTTGTTTCGAAAAACCTTAGTGATATTTTTTCACAATTATCAAAAGATTTTTATTCTGGTCATAGCAGCCGTCCGAGTAGAAAAAGGGTAGTAATTTGGTCTTTATTCTTAAAATATTCCAACGATTTATAAATACATGTAGAACCTCTCTTTCTCAAAGTTTCATTCAATGGAAAGCAGAGATAAGGAAGATAATGGAAAGTAGACATTCTTTGGTACCAATATTGTAAAATGTTCCTAATCTTGTTTTGTTTGCTTCTTGGCAAGTACCTATATAACTTGCTATAAATCGAAAACTCCACAGAAAAATGATTTGTTTTCTACTCTTCTTTTTTGTCTACAGCTCTCAACTCTCGAACTTTTTGCTCCTTTGCAATATGCTGTATGTATTTGTCTTTTAAATTTTCTTTTACAGTGAGATCTCCTTGAAAGTAAGTTATATAGAGGGAACATTTATTCTTTTTTGGATTGTAGAAAGATACATTTTGTTATTTAAATATTTTTCGGTATGTACTATAACTCGGTTTGTTAGTAAAATTTGTTTCAAGATGCTCCAAAAACATATTGTACATCTTGGGCAAGCTTAAGTCAGAATGTAAGTACGTTCTTGAAGTTGTCGATGTACAGTCATAAGATTCTACACAAAATAAACATAGCGGCTGTTCAGTTAGGTTATAGTTTATCCAGTGGATCACATATTATTTTACTTCACTAACATGCCTAAAGTCACTTTGAACAGTTAGTGAGGAAAATATTCTGCGTTATTACAGGTAGGACACAGAAGTATTATGCTGTATTTCATGCACTATTAAGGTTGTAAATATGCCACTTCGTGAGATGATAAAGTAAGTCAAGACTAGTTAATCCGCACAAAAAACATTTTTTAATTTTTGTTGGTTAGGTCAATTCGTGATAAGAGCGACGATATGTTCTCTTTTTATGTCGACATAATCTGTACAGTCTATAAGATTCAATTATTTGAGTTCTAAAATTAAATACATTCTAAGACTCCATGGATGGTGAGGTTGCATACATTCGATGGTATTTTGAGCATTCTGACGTAATCACTAATGTAGTCTATTATTATTTATTATTCTTCTAGTCATCCTGCATACAGACATTTGGCAGACAAACTAGGAACGCCACATTTACAAAAAGTATTAAACGAACAACTAACAAATCATATCAGAAATACGCTACCGTCTTTGAGAGGCAAATTACAGAAACAGTATATGGTTTTAGAAAAGGAATTAGGAGATTTTAAGCATTTTAATCCAGACGATCCCAGTATGAAAGCTAAAGCAATGTTACAGTAAGTATAAAATCGTATATTACCAATGCGATGCATTTCCGCACTTTTTAACCACTCTACGTCTGAAAATGTAAAGAAATATCGTCTGGTCGTCTGTGTGTGCGTATGCATGTGTATGCGCTGACACGATAACCCAAGAACGAAAGCTCCGATCCACTTGCGGTTTTGATTTTATTTAATAATTTAAATAAATCAACAGACTGGTCAAAAGTTGTGCAGTAAGTAACTAAGTATTTATTATTTCTGTCGATAGAGTCTTAAATCTTTAATACCTTGTTAATTATGCTATAAAATAATCTCTTTTCCTCGAATGAAGATTAATGTAGTCATAATGAAAATATGTAGTACAATTAAAATACTTTCTCGATTAAATGCTCTCTAAAGCACTCTTTATCCGAGTGACGTTAAAATTACAATCAGGTGACTGCCTTTTTTTGAAATTGTCACGTAATTGCCAATTGCAAAATGTTTTTAATTAATAGGTGATATACAGAGAATTTTTGATAAAATTTTTTATAAAAAGAAAAATAATGAATTACAGAGAGTATGTCTCAGAGAGCGTTAGGTAAGTATTTATTTGTAAACGAAGAATAATAAATAGACAGATCTTTATGAAACGGAATTGCTGGTAATCTTTGGAATTTTGTATCTTAATGAATGTTTTTTAACTTTTTCATAGCTTCATCATAATGACATGCAGAATTGTATAACAAATATAACTATGATCATGAACGTTATTATTATTTTACTACATATTGGCATTTTTCACTTGATAATAAAAGTTGCATCTTCATTAAAAATTGTCATTCCATTCCAATGTTAAAAAGTAAATTTTGAAATCTTTTTCATTTTCAAATTACAGGAGTGTATTTTAACAAATTTGAAAAGTCAAACATTCTTAATATCTTCAGACATCGTTCTTGTACCTATCTGTTTGTATACATATACATAAACATTTAAATTAAAATCTTGTAGATATTGTAAAGAGTAAGTATGGAAACCAATTTTCTTATTATGTACGTTTGAACTATTAAAACAAAAATTAAGAAAATATTTTATAATAGTTTTGAGATTCTGCAACATGTACCATGGAGTAACTCCACTTTAGCTATTTTACAATTAAACTTTTTGAGTATAGTGCATTGCTTATGCATATTAATGCATTTAGTTTATGTTAACTATAAAGAGAAGAGATACGCCTCTTTGCCACATCATAGATATCCACTTTAACAGATTTCTAGTGTTCTTAACTCAACTTGGGAATTTTTCAACCTTCGCCCCTTTGCCTTTCCAGTGCCAATTCGCTAGTTGGTTAACTTACTGTGTTGATGTTCATATATACTTTATGGTTCAAACCTAGTAGAACGGGTGACTACTATAGGTGCCGCCCTTGAGCTAACGAATAGTTACAATTCACCAGTTGGTTAACTTACTATTAAATTTTACCATCTAGGTTTACTTAGATTTGTGTGCATAAGTTACACAAAACAATACGTCCATGTATATTTCTAAACTATTGATAATTATATTTTCTATTGAAATGTTCCAAATTCAACCATCGAAAAACATATGTTAATTTAACTGTCTTTCGGGGTGAATGCCCGAAGTCACGTGGTTTATTGGGTTAGATTGATAATATTTTAAAGCGAAAAATGTCAGCACTTATTAAAAATGAAACCCCATAGAATGTTACATTAACCTTTTCGACTCATTATTGAAAATAGATATTTCGTTCGTCTAAACTAGACATGTACTAAGTTTATCTAGCGTTGTGACGGCGTGGATTTTGGGTACGTCGCAGCGTTGAGCGTCGCCTTGCATCGAGACGCCTAGCGTCGTGGCGGAGAGGAAGGTATTTATTACAGTACTGCATCGGGACGGATATAAGATAGGAAATACTTAGAAGGTGCTGCACGACGAAGGATGTCGTCACGGGTTTACGAGCGACAAGCGTCGTGAAGCAGGGCGATGGGACGTTAATCATTAGGACGCGACAGCATTCGGGAAATAGGTCCTCGGGACGGAGAACGCCGGGACGTAAACAGGTAAGGAAATAGGACGGCGGGACGTTGAACATCGAGGCATTCGGGAGGAAGAGCGTCGGTTTAAGAAAGGTACTAAATACTGAACTTCAAATATAACTAAATTTGAAAAGCAACTGAATTAGACTGGATTTAAATAATGAATATCGAGTTCCTTGGAATTGGATATTATACCCGTTTTAATGACTTTTGTGACATCAATTTGTCGTAGCTCCGGTGGGAACGAATTTGGGTAGATAAAAAAGGGTGGTAGATTTATTATGTGTCTTGAGAAATTCTCGGAATTTTGTGTCTATATCATGTCAAAATCGGTTTTTGAACTGTTATAATGATTATTTCTTAGTGAAAAGAAATAATTCTACTTTTAATGGTTATTACTTCTTAAAAAGAAATATGTTTTATGGAGGTTATTGGGTCGAATTTACATGGGATAACTGTTTACTTATTTATTTATTTATCTAAAGGTTTTTCGTAAATTGAAGGAATTTGATTTTAATAAGAATTCAACTAAATTATAAAGGTACCTGGATCAGATAGACTATATCACTTTTTCCAAAAAAAAACTTAAAAATAGAAAACTTACATTAATTAATATATTCCAAAATGTATCCAATACGGTCGTCCTGTTTAACTTAAATAATCTGTTCAAAGTAGTCCACCATTCACTGAAACGGAGATAAAAGTAGAATTGCAGGAAATATGCAATTTATTTAATGCTATCTATCCAGACATACCTACAGCCGATAATAAGATTTTTGAAATTTGTTTACTAATTGTTAAAATTATTTCCCAACCACTTTTTTCAGATATTTCTCTGACTTTTTGGATCGATTTGCGATTTAAGATTTTCATGACTTCACAATTTTTATACTAAGGTTTAGGTGTCTTAACGTACATTGGAAACTTAACTTACGCAGACGAAGATATGAGTATGCATTTCTCATATATACCAATGCCGTATAAAGGTATTTGAAGATTTGAGAACGAGCTTGACCACCGTCGGGCCCGAACTAGCACATCAAATTTTTATCTAGGAATCTCGACAGTCAATATCGTGATGGTCTAAAAGGAAGGGCACTTGTCTAACATATACAGATATCCGGATTCCCGGCTGCGACAGGCTTTTTTCAAATCTCCAAATACTTATTTTCACCTTTGAGGTTCGGCGATATTCGCAGGGGGATTTTTGAGATTTGTTTCCGAATTTTCAAATTATTTTCAGTCGATTATTATTGTACATATTTATAAAAAATCTAGAGATGTTAATTTTAGATTCTGAAATGACTTTTTGCAACATTAAAATGTAATCTATTCATATAGCTATTCAAAAATGCAAAATAATTGGAGTACTGAATTTATACCATGCTGTTCCACATTGTATTGCTTCTATCAAATAAATAATAGTTCACACATTCTATTGACTGTATTAACAACAAGTTTAATAACAGTTTTATTATATCGCGAAGCGGAAGGATTATTTTTAAACTGGCACGATTTGTCGGTTTGCAAGAAGGAGATATCTACAGGGTGTGGCTAACTTCCGTTGTAATTCTATAAGTTCTATTACTAAAACCAATGAATTGCATTCATAATAATCGTCAATAGTGTTAAAAAAAGGGAATAATCGAAAATTATGTGTAAGTAATACAGGGTTACACTTTAATAAATTGGACGATTTAATTATGTTTGATGAAATTGTTTAAAAATAATAAATTTAAGAAAGTCATATTTTTTTAAAATTCTTCTCTCACTGACGAATTCGTATACGGTATTCATTTAAAAATAATCATGAATATTTAAAAAAATTAATAAAGCAGATTTTTTTTATTTTTATGTCATACTCAAATTTTATATGTTTTCTAGAATGCTCCAACAATTTGCCATCAGTTTCGAAAAAGTTTTGGAAGGTGCAAAATCCGATGACGTAAACACAACAGAATTGTCGGGCGGTGCCAAAATTAATTGCATTTTCCACGAAAGATTTCCCTTTGAAATAGTCAAAATGGAATTTGATGAAAGCGAATTGAGGAAAGAAATAGCTATCGCCATCGCCAATATACACGGAATTAGGGTAATTTTCCACATCAACAAACCGTCCCCTTTTTTTAACAATTCTGATTTTTAGATAGGGCTTTTTACTCCGGATTTAGCTTTTGATGCTATAGTAAAGAAACAAATAGCAAGACTGAAGGAACCCTGTTTGAAATGTGTGGATTTGGTATCTACAGAACTCCTCAATGTAATACATTCTTGTTCAGAACAGGTACAATTCATATTCTACTTATCCTACTTTTTACTAATTATTGAACATTTCCTGTACTATCACATTTGTGCACATGACATATAGGCCAGGACAATTAAGTTAATGTTGTGTCACAGATACCGGCGGATTTATATAAAATCTTAGAGCATATAAGACTAGAGATATCATTCAATGTATTTTGTTATGTATAAGCGGAGTCATCACTTCTGGCGTAAGGGGAGAAGGGTAGGTACGCCATTCTCAATGGCGTACGGTTTGAAAGGGTTGGTTTTTATGTTTACCATTTATGCACTGTAATTTCACAATAACTAATAATTTAGATAATTGATTCGCATGATTAATAAACAAATGTATTAAACAATGTTCTTTTTCTATTTATGTTAAGCTTTCGTTATACATTGTATTGTATACATGTTTTACTGGAAATGACTATATGTTCGTTTAAGATTGAAAACTTTCTTTATTGTAGATATAGGTTTTGAAACTGTATGCTTTCAAATGAATTCGTGATCACACATTATTTTCGTTTAATTCAAGTAGATCATTTAGAAACTGAAATATTTTTTATATAGAGTAAATAAAAGAAAAACGAAAACAAATAACAATAATTTATTTCTAGTAGTAATAATATTAAATATACATGTTTTATGATAAAATTATTAATCAATGTAATCAAAACAAGAGATAATATATAATATAGTAGGTACCTAACTATTCGTAATAGACATATTTATTAACTTTACAAGCAGAACACAATAGCTTATTTTGCTTCAATTGACTGATTTTGTTGAAACTTGCTGCCAATATCAACATATCCAATATATTTTTGGCCAGTCCATTCCACCTTTTGCATAATTGCCATTTCATCCATCAAAAGATTTAAAAAAAAATCTTTTTTATAACCTTTTTGATTTTCTCTCCTTTAAATTTCAATGCTCTTCAGTGAATCCAGGAGAACCATCAACAGCCTAATGTCACTTTAATAAAGTACTGGGATGTGGGAGACAATTGTTAAATTTCATACTGTAGAAGCTTAAAGTTAGTGCTAACGCTCTTAATTCAGGGGAGTATTTTGTTCTGGAATGATCTTTAATTGCTCTCTTGACCAATTCCTTAGATCCACTTGCAAGAGAAGCCTAAAAAAATAAACTAATTTGACCCGAAATAAAAGAGTTATTTTTTATATATTCTATCATACTATTTAAAGATTCCAATCTACTTTGTAAAAAATATTTCCTTTAAGTTTTTCAATTATTTTATTTTTTGGCATAGAATCTTCTTTTGGGCAAGATTTAATTTTCTATAAAAAAATAACTGTTTAATTTTTTTTCTTAAGCATTGCTTTTCTGAAATCATAATAATGCTTGATTATATGAGAAAATATCTTATTTGACATTAACGTTTTTCTTCGTTTTTCTTTTTTAAGTTCTCTTTCCCTTTTATAAGGGACCTTATTGTGGTTTTAGGTGATGAGTTTATCAAATTTTTGTCTTTTAAAGAGAGTTAAAGATTGAAGTTCCCTGTCTTGCATATTTTCGTCCCTACAAATGAAATATACATAAAATGTATTCTGAGGATTTTTAATGATATACATTTAATTAAATTTCAAAAGTTCCAAAGGCTATTTATTACCAGCACCTGTTTGGCTTTTAAAAATATAAGAGCTAATCATACCTTTTCATTAGCCTTCTTTCTTTTCTAACTTCGAAATTTTCAATGTTGGGAACTGCAGATAAGGGCATATTTTCTTTACTGTTGTTATTTTTATGCCTGTAAATAATAATGTAATAATAATAATAAATATGTCTAGTATTTAACAAAATAAGCCACATATATGAATATCGAATTACAAGTATTTACAGTTTATTTGGAAAAAAACTCATTTCTATAGCAAAGTACAGGTACAGATTTTGGTATAGATCCTTTTATTAATCTATTGCTACCTTTAAAATAATGTTCAGTTGAAAATGGTCCGAACAAAGACATGTGTTGTTAGAAATGCTATTAATGCTCAAACTAAATACTTGACAGTTTGGTTGTGAGATCAGCGGGAAATCTGAAATAAGTAAAAAAAGATTTAAAATATTAATGGCAGTTGAATAAATATATACAATACAAAAATATATCTTATCCATTTTACATTATATACAAAAAAACATAAATTAAGCATTATCGCAAAGAAAACGACTATTTTCTGTCGAACGCAACCAGTTGCGGTCATGCTCAAATGAAGAAAATTCTACAAACATGTTTTCTTATTCAATTGCCTATTTTCCATTTTAAGTTACGTTTATGGAATATAGATTACTTACTTGTGAAACGTCAACCAGGATCCTTTTAAGTATGTATTATTGCAAACTATACAAGCTTTCGGCATAATTAGCACTTATTTTATAATAAAATTACACTTAAAAAGTTTATCAAAGGGAAACCTCGTCCAAATTGTGTTTGGAAGCCACAAAAAATGATATTTTTAAAAACGAAAACAAGACGTCAAATGAAATGTCATTTATCACAAATACGCGCGTTATTTAAATTCGCCAATCATAAATCGTCGTGTTCCTAACTCGCCAATCTAATGCGTCGTGTACCTAACACCGAAGGGGTTACCCCCCTTAGTACATAACAAACCCATTTAAGTAACACCTCTACTATTATATGCTCTAAGTATAAAATGGTAAAATTTAAATATACACAAAACTTTTATATTTTCACAAAAGTATATTTTTTACACCTCTAGATACCTAAAATAACATATAATTAACGAAATTTGTGTTGTCGGAAACCTGAAAAAAATTCTATTTTTTTATATTCTAATAATGACATTTTAAGTTAATTTAATAATTCATTAAATTTATTTTGGTTGTGATTTGACATTGAAGGCACGATACATGTATGTGTATCGTGATTGAAGGGTACAATATAAACATTGTTGCCAAGTTGTAAATTATTTCCTAAATAAATTGACTATATTTTTGATAATATATTCAAAATTAAACGTGAGTTGGAAGTTCAACAAAATTATCGATACTTAAGCCGTGCTAATATACGCCGATATATGAACGGCGGATATTACTATTGAAAATTTGCCGAAAATATATATATTAAGGGCTTATGAGGATAATTTATGTAAACTTATTCATTATAATTTACAAGCTGTATTTGATAGAGCTTCAGTGATTCCATTGTTTATTTATAAATTATTTGTATTTACTAATGATGGGTCGCTGTGAAAAGTCCACGAACTAGTCTGAAAAGATTACTAGTCCAAACAAACTTTTTAAAAGTGGAAAAGTGTATTGATAAATTAACTAATTAGGCATTCCAAACAAAATGGCTGCCCGTTTGAAATGACAAGCCACTGACAAGCACATGATAGGTTATAATATGGCAACACTGTAAGCCTGGTGGTTTGATAGGGTCAATGATATAGACATAAATAGATTGATCATCCATGGTTTTAAAAATAAACATAAGCTTATGCCTTAAAGTAAAAATGTAGGCAGTTTTTTTTTTAAATATTCAAAGGCTGAAAATTGTTTTTAAAACACATTTTTGCTAAACCGATTCAAATTAGCCAGGCAATATGGCCGCTCGCAAACGACCCGCTTTAAGCAATCTATATAACTTTATAGGTATCATTGAACCTGTTAATGACAACATGCTCACAGGGTTGCCATATCTGAACTTTCAGAGCCCACTGGTAGCCATTTGGACAGGTCGTTGGAATGCCTAATTCGTCTAAATTACTTACAAAAAAATGCAAAATTTAGTTTAAAAAAGAAGAAACGACAAATGTTTACTGACTTTTGTAATGGTTTAACGATGTTTTCGAATTTTCGTTCCATATCTTATTAAAATAAACTCGTCAAAAAATTAACAAAAAATCCAAAGGGTCGAAGTATTTTACAAATGATTTGCCTAAAAAAACGAAAATACAAATATTGTTCCCAAAGTGATTTTGAAAAAACATCCAGGATAGAGATTTAACTGTGTCTTCTATACTCAAGGTTGTCTACTTTGCATTGTGACTTTTCATTACTTTTCACTACTTTTCTTGACGTGTCCGTTGGATTAGTCCAAAAATTACTTTTCATGAAAAGAGTCCCATCTCTAGTATTTACTATACCTATTTATATTACATGTATATTATTTTCGTAAATATTAGAGAGTTATTGTAAGTTCACTTAAGGTCAGTCACTATTAGTGCCGCTCTTATTTTGACATCTAAGCATGCGTAGATGTTTATGTTCTAAAACTGACTTTATTAAGGATTGTGCCTGTCCTTAATTGTGGATGTTTAAGGGCAGCAGGTAGTGGCAACGTTATAGTTTTCGGATGCGCTCGCCGACATGCGAATCCGTTAGAAGTTTTTTACTATTAAATATTTAATATAATCATCATTTAAACCTTCTAAAATTATAATTTATAATGCCTCTTTAATATTATAGAGTTTTAACGGTTTTATTTTAAATATAATATAGTACGAAAAATTATTTAAAAAAATCTAATTTTGTGTAATTTTTAGAGTAATGGTCAACCCAGTATATTTCTTATTAGCTTGATTTATTTTATTTACAACTTTTTTGTAAACTTATCAGGAATGTAAATATTAGTAAGTTACGTTACTTTAGTAAATTTCGACTTATACCTTAACATTTTAAATTTCTCAATATTTCTTAATTAAAAAATATGTTTAGGTAACACGGCCATAGTTCCATAGGAATTAAATTTATTACTACTATTATATATACGTAATTTTTACATATTATAAAATAACGATCCACATAAGCCATTTATTTAAAAAAAAATTTAAAAAAAATTAAAAAAAAATGTTAGTTTATTGGGTTTCCGGTGGTATATTTGTTTTTTAATAATTTAAAGAAGGTAAATCAGAACAAAATATCGATTTGTAGAATACATCGATTATGAACAACATAACCCTGTTATCGTGTCATCGAAATCATTAGTCATTTTTGACTATTCTACTCAAAAAATGGTGGTTCGCCCAAAAAAAGTATGGTACCGAGTTATATACAGTCTAGAACGTTTTCTCAAATTTCTTAAGTTTTGTATATACTCAAATTAGTCCTACAAACTAAACCTTATTTCCTGTACTATTGTCTTCATTTGGTTATAGTACAGGAAATTATTATTATTATATTTCCGACAAAACTTTTTTAATTTTCAGATGTCCAGATTTCCGAGACTTAGAGAAATAGTGGAAAGGGTAATTACGAATCACGTTAGAAAAAGAGATCAAGAATGCAGAGATCAATTAGGAGAATATATAAATTGCCAATTATCGTATATGAATACTAATCACGAAGATTTTATAGGATTTGCGAAGTAAGTTGATTTTTTGGTAAAATTAGACTTATTTTAAAATTAAAACAAAGAGTTGAAAAATTGACCTTATTGTTTTTAAATATTTGTTATTTCTAAAACTGAAATTATTACTTCTAAGAATTTAACTAGGACTACTATTCCAATAATTGCTAACATGAAAAAATCAAACTATTAAAATAGTTGTGTTCATTTTATTTAAGTAGTATCTATCAAAAAATTTAACTTTTAATATTTAAAGCATATTTGTATTAACAAAAAATCATACCATTACTGAAAAAACTTAATTTTTTTTAAAAACAATATTTTCTAAAACTTGACTTTTAATTTCTAAAAGTGGACTGATTAATTATAAAATAGGACTTTATAATTCTAAAACTCAACTTATCACTTCTAAAATTGGACTTATCAATTCTAAAATGGGACTTATCAATTCTAAAATTAGACTTATTATTTTTAAAAATGTTTTTTTAGCGCCGAAAATCAAGCTAGGAAGGCGGTACCAGTCCACAACAATTTAGGCAATCAAGTGATACGTAAAGGTTATATGAGCCTGCATAATTTAAGTTTCATGAAAGGTAGAAGTTTCTGGTATGTCCTATCGTCCGACAGTTTGGCCTGGTACAAGGATGAGACTGAAAAAGAAATACAATATATCTTGCCGCTTAATAAGTTAAAGTTGAGAGACGTAGAGACTGGTTTTATGAATAGGAAGCCCACTTTCGCTATATTTTATCCTCACGGAGCTAATGTATATAAAGTGAGTCTTTTATATTTAAACATGAAAATCATATAATATTTTATCTACGATCATATTCTTAAAAAAAGTATTAATAATTAAATTATTATAAGTTTAACTGGTCGTAGATGAATATTTGTTTATGTAGTTTTTTCAAACGAAAACTTTTGTTAGGATTACAAGCAATTGGAACTTAGTTGTAATTCTGTGGACGATATGGATTCGTGGAAAGCGTCATTTTTGAGAGCTGGAGTATATCCGGAAAAGTTACAAAATGGCGAAGAAAATGAAGATGAAAGTGTAAGTTTGAATTAATAATGACATATAAATTCACAAGTTTTTTTAATCGGTGAAAGATTAAATATTTTTTATTTGATCTCCACCAACGATAGTATTTAGCTAGCACAAATTTTAGAAAGATGTATTAAACAATAAGTCAACTACAAAGGGGCACTGCAAATGGAAGAAAAATTTTGCCTTCTTGATAATAGCATAATGCAGATATTTTACTAAATAACCTAACTCTGTATTGGAATATAGTAGTCCAATTCATTATCTTTCTATACTTCGCTGAAATGAACCGATATAGACGAACTGCACTATCGCATGTCAATCGCATCGCCGACAATTGAATAGAAAGTAGGAAGAGCCGTGCTGTGTGTTTATTATACTCTTCACACAGTAGTCTGTCAAGATTATCATAGGTTTACTTTCAAAAAAACCAAAATTTTTAATGTTCATACAAATTTAAAAAAAATTGTACCAAAATCCTTCTCATCAAATTTTAAGAAATTTTTTAAAATGTCGGTCCGTCCGATGTCACGTTTTTTGTCCGCACGATAAGTCAACGAAAAATATATGATATGAACTTAAAATTTTCAGAAAAATATCAATCTTTATAAGAGTAAAAAGCCTATTGATTTGGAAAAAATCTTAATAAAAATGGAGGGGTTAAGTAGGAATTAAAACTTAAAAAAAAATCATAAAATAAAAAAGAAAAACAATATTTTCAAGAAAAATCAAGCTCTACAATGAAACGAAGCCTATTCATTTTTAAAAAACTCTGAATAAAAATGAGGGGTTAAGGAGGTTAAAATTTAAAAAAATTCATAAATCAAAAACAAAAAACAATATCAACTTGAAATTTTCGGGAAAATCAAGCTCTATAATTGGACGAAGCCTATTGACTTTTAAAACATGGGGGGTTAAAAGGGGTTTCCTTAACTGTAATGAGTATCATATAGAATTCCAAGCATTATATATCTTCATTCTAGTTTTTTAATTTAATGTTATTTTAAGTATCTGTAACGTGTGGAGGGTGGGTTACCCCACGGCACTTAGGCCTCATTAGGCCCATTGTGCATCCTCCTGAGATGATGGGCACCTGCTAGCTCGTGAGCCAGCCTACAGATTTAATGTAGTTGACAACGTCGCCAAGAGGTGCTTCTCTTATATCGGCCGGTGTCAACCGATACTCGCCTTACTTACCTTCGAAAAATTTGTAAATATAAATACGTATTTATATGAATATCTTCCATATGTTTCATACTTATTGCTAAAAGATATTTGAAAAATATAAGAATCTGCCTGATTGAAAGAAAAGAACTTCGCAATAGCTTTTATTTGCTAACCTTCGAATCCTTCCTGAAATTGACCCATCCTGGCTTAAAATAGGATTTTCCTTAGTACCCTGAGGCAAAGTAGCCGTAACAACCTTTCGATGTGACGTGACCTGCTTTAATCCATCTTAAGGTGACCACATTGTAGATGAATACTTCGGCCAAAGCTTCGTGACATTCTAGTACTAACCCTGAATAAATTCGTGGTCTGTTCAGGGTGAGTAGTGCTTGTCTCCTATCTGTATAGATGAGCATGTTCCTTCCAGTGATATTCTTTCTGGTTATTTCTTTTGCTGCTATGAGAATCCCCGTTAGCTCTGTTTGAACTACATTGGCACTATTGCTCACAGCCCATTCTATGTTTAGGTTTAAGAATCTGGAGTATACTCTACATCCTGAGCCTTGTTTTGTTTTAGAACCGTCGGTGTAGATATGAATCGCACCTGCCACTTTCGGCTCTTCTATGTGTTCTATTGTTTAGCTAACTTTCGTCAAAGAACCCATTCCCTACACCAAATTTTTCAAGTTCTTCAGAGCCCGAACTTTTGCGGTATTTCTTTATATTTGACTTATTGTTTACTTACCACAACTATAATATTATTTTTTTTCTAAATTATCATATTCAGACTGCCCGGTAATTTTAAATATATTTTTTATAGATTTTTAGTCAAGATGACGTAGATCCTCAATTAAAAAGACAAGTGGAAGTAATACGTAATCTAGTCGAAAGTTATATGTCCATTGTTACCAAAGCAACCAGAGATTTAGTTCCAAAAATGATAACCTGTTTGATAATAAAAAATACGAAAAATTACATTTTCGAAGAGCTACTAGTCAACGTATACGCTCACGAAGATCAGGTAACAATCATAATCTTTTCATATCGAGCTAGATGAGTACAAAATTCCCTCTATTCGCAGGTTGAACTTTTGGAAGAATCGCCCGAAGAAGTGAAGAAGAGAACAGAAAAAATGGCCATGTTTCAAGCTTGTAAAGCAGCATTGGATATCATAGGAGACTGCAATATGAAATTCAACACTACCTCAACTAATACTGAAGAAGAAATCATTTATGCGAAACCTATGATAGCGCCTAATAAACCCTCTATCGCCTCCAAGAAAAGTAAACACCATTTCATTATTTTTTAAATGTTGATAAGTTCTTGCAAAAAACAAAAGATGAGTCATTTAATAGAGGAAACAGTAGGTTTACTTATAAAATAACATAAAGATGAAATTAAAATTTTTAAATTTATATTTTATAACTAACAAACTATTTAAATAGTAATCAGATTTTATTTATTTTGAAATTGGACTAAATATTTCGAAAAGTGGAGACTTCTTATAACTTCTAGAATTAGACTTATTGTTTTTAAAATTTATTTTTATCCCTGCAAACTAAACTATTGGTTCTACAAGTAGACATATTTCTTGTAAATATCTGTATCACAAAAAATCAATCTATTAACAGTAAAATCTCTAAAATATTAATTTAGCATCGCAAATCAGTCCATTTGTCCAAAAAAGAGGGATTATTTTCTATAAAAGTGGATTTATTCTAAAAATAGACTTATTAGTTCTAAAATAAGACTTATTATTCTAAAAATAGACTTATTATTTCTAACTTTTGAAATATTTCGAAAATCATACAAATTCATGCTTAATTTGACCGGGACTATCATTTTCCTTGAATAAATTTTATATAAAACGAGTAATTTTGAAAATATTTCTATTTTTATAAATAAGTACAGAAAAACTATAAACACGAGAATCTCAAACAGTCGCATAAATTCAAGGCAAATAGTTGAAATAATAAACTAAATCACTCCTGCAATTTCGTAGATTTTCCAAAAAAGAATCTGAGAAAACATTTTGTAAGGACTTATCTAACATATTTATAAGGAGTGTTCAACATAAAAAGTCATAAAGTTAACTGTGGAATTCTTTGAAAAAAAGATGTGATGAAACCCTTCCCGATATGTTTTTTATTTCAGTAATAATTGAAAGTAATGCAATACCAATATCCCACATGATTAAATTGATGTCATCAGTTAGCTACTAGTAGTTTATGCAACTCAGACTTTGTGTTCGTGTGATATGGACAATCCACTCGAGTTGTAGAATATATTTTTTCTACGACCCAATAACGAAAATCTACAAGTTTTAAAAATTATTTTAGGTTATTAATAACCTTAAGGTAGAAAACTGATTTAAAAATAATTTATGACTTTTACTAATTTATAAAATCAAATAAACTTAAATTTAATTTTACTCTATTCCTAGATTTGAAACCGGGACCTTTCGCATAACAACCAGATGCGCTAGTCTCGGCTCCATCGCCATACATAAAATTTTGGTTTTTAACCGACTTCAAAAATAGGAGGAGGTTCACAATTCGTCGTAATATTTTTTTATGTATGTTCAGCGATAATTCTTTACCACCTTGTCCGATTTCTATGATTCTTTTTTTGTTAGTAAAGGGGGTACCTCAGGGGTGGTCCCATAAAGATTTAGTTAAGATGTGGCAACGGCATCTGCACGATTTTGAAGTCGGTTTTTTAAAATTACTTTTAATACTTGTAATACTCGTAACTCGTAATTAAATTGATTTTATACAGTGACCAAAATATGAACTGTGGTAGGTAGATTTCATATGTATGCAGTGTTTTCACTAGGTAGAATGGATATGGAATATATTCGTTCAGTTGAACGCAATGGTATATTTTTTCGTTTTGTAGTCCGTGCGTAGAATAGCTAATATCTGGGCATAGAAACAAGTATCATTAATAACAATGGCAACCATAGATATAGAAAAAATAGTGGCAACCCTAAAACAATGTCACTGATCTATTTGACAGAACTAATACTTAAGTTGTCACTAAGAACGGCCATTTTCATTAAAGTTCTTGTTTTACAAAATTATGTGGGATATACAGTTATTGTTGAAAACTCGTTAACGTGATAGTTTGGTATGTTTTCCAAATTTGAGGTTAGAACTAGTACCTATCTAAAAAGTAAAAAGCTTACATTTCAAAGTCAACTGATGACTTTTTATGACGAACATTATTTTTTTTTGTAACATTATTTTAGCTTATAGATTATCCACTCCACCACCAGCATTTTCGAGACCGGCCCCCCCACCACCACCAGGTACGCCACCCCCGCTACCAGAGAGATACTGATTTTTTACAATAACAGTATTTAAATACTTATATATTTAAAAAATAATAAATTATATTTTATATTTTTTCAAATAAAATAATATAAATAAGTGTTGTGTTCGTCTATATAGTCTTACAGCGTATTTTGAAAAATACAATATGAATAAAGAAATTGTATAAAATTCAAAATGCAGTCGTAAAATAAATATTAATTTAAACGTTTTTATTTTTATGAAATTTCAGGGAAGCTGAAAAAATATAAGAGTGAGAAAAATATTTCTAACGAACTTCAATCTGGAAATACCTTGCAATTGATACCCAAGTTTTATATTGTATCAATTCCGTAGATACACTGAGAAAAATGAGGTATTTTAATAGTAGTTTACTGTATATTCGAAATCTAATTGGCCTTGTACATATGAAGCATAATAATTCTAATAGTACACGTATAACTGTTTTTTTAAGGGGAATTGCAGTGCTATTTATGCAATTTTGGCTTGATATAAGTGTATAATATTGCCGCAAAATAAATATCCTTTTGAGCAGCTTTACATTCATCTTCGTTCTTATCTATCGTTTTATTGATATTAAAGGTACACTAAGTTGGTTCAGTAATGCTTTATACTTGCGCTATACCTATTGTATTGTCGTGCAACCAGTCCGATCCTGTTCTTTGTTCACCTTCACCGCTGACGCTGGCGATTGAGAATCGACTGGAATGTTTTTTTTGTACGCAGGCCGACACGTGGAGGAAGGATTTTACGAACGCATCGAGATTCGTCTAGCAGGATTAAATTTTTTTCTAGGCTTTTACATTTTGGTATTAAGCTATAAATGTGAAATTTAAATAGTGCTCGAGTATAAATAAACTAATTATTACTTTGTGTAAATAAATTATAAATAAATAAACAAACTATTTTTAAAATGAACAAACTTTACATTAATGTTAGTAGTCGGGATTTTGTTAATAAATAGTGGATAAAATTGGCTAAAAAACGGAGTGACTTAATAGTGACCAAGATATGTCGGAAACTAAAAGATCACGAATTGGAGACGACAGGGGAGAGAGCTAGTAAAGCGGCTTAAAGAAGCACTAGAAAGTGAAGGTTTGGATCAGAAAACGTATCTTTTTACTGCTGATGCGTCTTCTTTAATTTCTTCTTTGGAAAGTTAAACAAAGATCGTACCAACAAAATAAATATCCAACTATAAGGATTAAAGATTTGGATAATAAAAAACATAATTTATTTTTTCTACGACTCCTTACGAATAGAAATCCTTCGGATACAGTATACTTCTAGCGAAATTTTGAGTTCAGTCACTATGAGAGAAAATAACACCCTTAACTTTCGTCTCTAGTGATGAAAGCTGTTGCATATTTTCACATATCATCCGCCTCGTATCTATAATAGTTTGGCGCTTATATTTATTATTAATAATAAAATACATGGATGTTCATTAAAATCAGTTGTTTATTTGAAGTTTTAACGTAGATTATTTAGAACTTTCAGTATCAGTTGTTGAATATTTAATATTCAAGGTTTTTTGGTGAATCTAATACAAAATAAATCATTTCTTTACATGTCCTTTCCTTTTTTTTATTTTTATACGTGGGCATAGTGAATTCATAGTGGAGTTTCTAGAAAAAGTATAGTGTTTTACTTCTCGAATATCATTTTATTCAGTTGTAAAACAATACGCTATTTCTGGATTAGTGCTTGTCGTGAATTATGTTTTGTGAATTAGAGCTTTTAAATTCTTATTGTATGCAGCTTCTGCTTTTAACTTTAAACTTAACAAAAATATGGATAATTATAAATTGTATCTACCGAATTACAAAAAAAAGTCTAATGGTATTTATTTTATTTTCAGGGACTGTCGACAGTATTATTTTTTGCAAATCCATAAGTAAACGTATTAAATTTATTGTTTAAATAATTTTGTATAAGTGTAGTACTAATATTTATATTTATTTTGTTTTTAAAATAAAATGTTGAAAAATTTATCGATTTTTTACTTATAACACAAATCTAAAAATATGTGTTATGTTTTTGCTAGTTTTCTGTAACAAAATTCTACAAAGCTTTGAAAAACAATCTGGTAAAGTTTTCATAGACATATTAGGTAGTGGCGTGCGACCAGTCCAGCCCTGATCTTTGTTTACCTTATCGTCGTTCAAGCCAAGCCGTTTGCAAAACTACATTCAGCACACAGTTCCGTTACGAGTGCCAATTTAACCAATCGGAATGAACAGAAGTGACAGCTTTAAGGGGCGGAGCTTAATGCTGCGAAAAATAGTGATGATGGAAACAAGTTTTCTAACCTCAACTTTAGATATATATGTGTTTTGGTTTAAAATATTATTCTTTTATTTTATGACAGTGACTAGCAGTACATCAGATGTACGCGCTTTATTTGTACATCGGTCTCCTTTTGACAGAGTACTCGTAGGTGAGCTGTGTCCAGGCCGTTGGTGTTTATGCCGGTCGGCGTAGCCAGGTATGGATTGAAAATTTTTGGTGGCGGCGAAGCCGCCACCCTACGAGAAGTCGTTGCTTCGTCTTCTTGTTGTCACGGCATTATTATTATTAGTTCATGCATGTGAAATTTGCTTCTAAGGTTTATAAAATACTACAGAAAAATACTTAAGTCTTCAACTCCATCTTCTGAAATAAAGTTATGTTAGAATTAGGATGTACAAATAATGGAGGATACATCCGATGTACAAATAATTCGTGTATATCCGATGTACTGCTATTCACGGCGTTACTTTCAAAACTAGCGCGCTTTTATGTCCCGCCTATAATTTGGTGTTCGCACGTTGTTATTGGCTCTTTTTAGTCCCATAACCAAAGTAAGTGCTGGATGTATCATTGCAAGCCGTTTGCATGTGTTCCGCTGTCGCTGGCCTCGAGTCTCGAGAAGTTAAGTTTTACTTTCTGATAGTGCGACATGCGATAGCGACGTGTGATGAACTGTGGCGACGCGATTTGCGAGTTTGCGACAAATTTATTTTTTTACCATGCGAGACTTCATTGTAGCAAAACGTTTGGAGCTGTGGCGAGATACCGCGATGTCGCAATATCGCTGTAGCAAAGTCCTTAAACAACACATTCATTTGACTTAGTGTTGTGAATATCCGTATCTTTTTAGTATTCGGATAATACGTATTCGGAACCAAGAGATATTCGGATTCATCATCCGGATACGTATCCATATTCCGTGTGTGAAATCATAATAATACGCAACCGTAAATACACCGCGACCTTGGGAATCGGAACCGGGCAGTGTTGTCAACCCTAGCAGAATTTATGTTTGAGAGTGAAGTAACAGGAGCTTTTAATGTTTTAGGTCCGGTTTTTCAATCTCCGGCTATTTAGGATAGCTGGCAGCTACGGAGATAGCCGTCAGCCACTGACTGTCAAAACGTTTTTCGACCTCCAGTTATACGATAGCCGTCAGCTATTTTGACTGTAACCGTAACCGACACTTGCAAGCGGTAATTTCGTATAAGGTTTGTTTTGGTTCACATTCTAGAATTGTTCCAGAACCATGCGCAGAACTATTGCGCAATGGTCCTTAATTCTGAACAGTCCTTAATAGAGGACAGGCACAATCTTTATTAAAGTTAGTGATCTGCGCATGCTCAAATGTCAAAATAAGAGCGGCACTAATAGTGACTGACCTTAAGTGAACTTGCAATAACTCTCTATTCTAGCAGCAGTCATAGTGATGTAAGAATACGTATCCGAAAATCCGTTGAATCCGAATATTAAAAGGATCCGGATATTCCGGAATCAATAGTGTAAATTCGAATACGAATTCGGCATCAAAAAGGACAAACAAAATCGTAATACACGAATCGAATGCTGTTATGACAGAGACAGAGCCGATTGCGGGTTTTGCGGGTGGCAGCCGATACGAAATCGGAATTCGGAATCGTCTACCTATATTGCAAATTTCTATAAAGCCAGCCACTAATAGTGACATCGTAATTAGAGTCAAATAAATTCTATAATAGTTCCTAATATTAAAGAGTCATTAGAAATTATAATTTTAGAAGGTTTAAATGACGAGCGCATCCGAAAGCTATAAAGTCGCCACTACCTGCTGCCCTTAAACATCCACAATTAAGGACAGGCACAATCCTTAATAAAGTCAGTTTTAGAACATAAACATCTGGGCATGCTTAGATGTCAAAATAAGAGCGGCACTAATAGTGACTGACCTTAAGTGAACTTGCAATAACTCTCTAATAACTTGCCGGCATACATTAGTGTCATACGTCGCTATCGTATGTTGCAATGCCTTAAAGTAAAATATCCTACCATTTTTGGCCTAACATTCTTGTGGATTCTATTGCCGTTACATACGTAAGTTTTAGAAATAAATGTTGTCGAGTAAAGATAAAGTGTTAAAATAAATATAAATCAGTGTAGTTTTGAGTAAAAATTAATTAGTTATAAAATAAGTTGGTGTATACTGATGGTCTTAACTATAATGAAGTTTCCTGCAGATTTAAGAAGAAATAATGGTATCTATAACCTAAGTATAACCTACAAAGTATCATTCTATGTATAGTGAAACTTTTGTTAACGGACACCACTCCACAACGGAAACCTCTACTGAGCGGACAGTTTTTAGGTCACCGAACATTTCATACGTGGGTAAATGGGCTAAGACACATTCGAATAACGACTCCGGACAAAATTTTCCTTCATTTTTTTCTATTCTTGTAATTTTACCTGCCAACAACGAACAATAAAGGCGATTTAAATTGGGGCTTGAGAACTCAGGAATTCCAAATAACTTATTGTAGCCATAAAATAAGTAGCTAGGTAATTATAGTCATAAAACTAAAAAATTAAGTACTTCGAGTTTGATTTGGAGAAACCCATTTTAGAATTTATTCATCCTTTGCACACATTCCTAATTCAGTTGCGATATTCTGATCAAGTGTAACAATGTCTTTGACTAAAAAAAAGTTTCTAAGTTTGGAAGAAAAAATATCGGTAATAGAGGCATCTGAAAAAAATAATTATAGTGTTCGAGTTTTGGCCGAAGTTTCAAATAGGAAAAACCATTAATTACGTGAGGTGTTCAAGGGAGGAGGGAATCAAGCTAAATCTTTCCAAATCTCACTTGTAAATCTGACGTAATTTTTTTTAGTAGAAAACGGTGTAAACTTGTGTGAAAGTAAAGTTAAATTGAAGAACGTTTCTAGAAATTTTATATTACTGCAATATTCTCATAAAGTAGTCTTTAATAATAATAATAATAATACTCTCCCTAATTCACCCCCTTACGAGTGAATTTCAACCCCTGAAGTCGACTGAACGACTTGTGTAGGGGAAGGGACGGCTATTATTATTATTTGCCATGGCGCTCCGGGGCGACTTAAAGATGATTGACGGTGCTATTTGACTTACAGGTGAGGAAAACCCAGAAAACCTCACCCACCATCATCGAGACGGTAATGCATATCATATCAACAGCAATTGAATTTCTATTAATTTTTTTTATTAATACGGCACATATCCAATCCTAAACCGAACCATGCGATTTAATTAAAAATCCACATGGTCCTCCGGTTTGGGATTCGAAGCCCAGCAGTCTCAGACTCATAAACTTGCCTATAAATGAATATAAGTGCGTTAGACCGCTACACTACCGACCCGATTGCTTGTCTTAAATAAAAGTATTGTGTTCTTGATTTTTTTTTTTAATAATCCAACGCATTTACACTCAAAACACAAATTTTGAAAAATCTTACGTGAGATTAGAGGAGGGGAAGGAAGTTGAGGACAATCTTATGAAATCTCACCAGGGGGGAGAAGGGGTCAAAAAATCCTCAAAAATACCTCACGTAATTAATGGACGCCCCCTTAGTAACATTTTAAAGAACAAGGCCGACTTAAAAAAGTTGTATAATAAAAATGGAAATCTACAACAAAAAAGAGGATTAAAACTGAAGGTGTTGCCATCGATTCTATAGTGTACGATTGGTTTTGTAAAGTGAAAAGTAAGAACATACCATTATCTGTACCAATAATTAAAGAAAAAGCTTTAGAGGCGGCGAAAGAGAACTTAATTTGAATTTTAATATTAAATTTAGAGAAATATCTGGAGAAGCTGCAAATGTTAACCTTGACAAAGTTTCAGAGAGGCAAAGAAAACTGGCTATTTACCTGAAGATAATTATAACGCTGACGAGACTGGTCTTTATTATCGAGCTTTACCAAGTAAAACTTTTACATTTCGTAATGAAAAGTGCACTCGGGGTAAATCTGCTAAGGAAAGACTGACAGTATTATTTTGTGTGCAAATCTAAAAGGTTTAAAAGAAAAATGTTTGGTGATTGGTAAAAGTAAAAAACCTCGATGTTTTAAAGATTTTTATGTTGTTAAACTCCAAGTCGACCGGTACTACAACAAGAAGGCATGTGTTAGCTCTTAATTTATATTTTTAAATTTGCGCGCCGCGCCACTGACCAACGAGCGCTGTGAATGTTTTAGTCCAGACATGCTGAGTAAGCAGTAGAATGAGTTGGCCATAAGCGGCAATCGCCGGTTGTATTCTGACAATAAAATCAGTTTAATTAAATTATCGTGTTTAAATATAATTGAAAATGAGTCTGAGTGATCTAATTTCCTTAATAAAATAATTATACTTAACACATGGATGACCAGAGATATCCTGACAGATTGGATGCACAAATTTGACAAAAAAAATGCAACGTCAAAAAATTAAAATTATCTTGTTCCTAGACAACGTAACATCCCATCCGAATATTCAGCTATCCAACATATTATCGATAATATTTTTGCCACCTAATACTACAGCACATTGTCAACCTTTAGACCAAGGAGTAATCAAAAACTTTAAATTCCTGTTTAGAAAGTTTTTAATGAGAAGAATGCTATCATCTATAGAATGTTTTTTATCTGCGGCTGAACAGGAGAAGTCCATAACGCCTTAATTTGGATAGTGGCAGCATGGAAAA